CGCCCAAATTCAGGCGCCCGGCAAACCGGCCACGGGGGCCGCGGAGCGCGATCCGCTCGTGGACCTGGGCCGTGGGCTCTTCTGGGAAGGCGCGGTGCAAGGCGTCGCCGAGCTGCACCAGCGGATGAGGTGCCAGGACGACTGGTGGAACGAGGCCCGGCGAACCTCACTCAGCATTTAAGCAGCTGCACATGCGCTCGCCCATCTAAGCCCCCCCCCCCCCCACAAAGTAATTAAACAAACAAGACCAATAGCCGCCACAACTCACTTGACACGCCCGCAGGTCGTGGACGAGCTTCGCGACGGAAAGCTCTCGGAGAAGAATTACAAGTACCTTCACGGCCACCCGGTCGAAGGCTGCACCCTCTCGCCCGAAGAGCGGCGATCCAGAAAGCGCGTGGCGGACGGACCCCGCGACCCGCGGCTCCGCGAAGAGAAGTTCGTGAAGGCCACCGTGGTCGTGGCCAACAACGACGCCAAGTACCAGATCAACAAGGACCGCACGAAGGCCTACGCCCGGGACGCGGGAACCCGTCTGGAATGGTCCGTGGCCAAGGACAAAGCCGGCGTGGAGGCGCTCCAGGCGCAGGCGTGCGACAAGGAAGCTAAAGTCCGCTGGCTCCAGTACCACGACATGGACACGGAGGGGCTCTGCGGCATGCTTTCCCTGGCCATCGGCATGCCCGTCGCGCTGACCCACCACGTGGACCGCTCGGAGAAGCTCCTGCTGAAGGGCCGCGCACCGCAGCAGCACGAGAAGCCGTAGGAGCAGCCTCCCCCATCGCCCCCGAAACACGCCCCGCACCACGAGGTACGTCAAGTTCGAGGGCGCCGACTGGATTCTCCCAGGCTCGAAGGAGCCCGGGCTTTACCCGATCCTCCCGACCTCGCGCACTTGGAAGCTGGACAAGGGCCACAAGAACGCCGTGCTGAAGGTCAGCCGCACGCAGATCCCGCTGATCCCGGCCTTCGCGATCACGGCCCACGCCAGTCAAGGCAAGACGCTGCCGCCCGGCTGCACGCGAAGACTTCTCTTGCAGACAGAAAGCGCGTAATAAAACACGCCGAAGCCATAGCACACGCTTGCAGCTCAGGACAGCTGTCATGCTGGACTTGAACGTGGACTCCAAGACCCATGCCGCCTACGGCACCGTGGTGGCCAGCCGCGTCCGGAGCAGATTCGACCTGCTGATCCTGCGACCCTTCCCGCTCTGGCTCTTCCAGCGCGGCGCCGCAGAGGGCCCGGCACTGCTCCTGCGCAAGCTCCGGGGCGAGGACATCGACTGGCAGGCCATGCAGGACGCGCGCTGGCCCCGGGCCCGATGTCAAGAATGCAGGGAGCTGAAGAGCTGGGACCTCTTCGCCCACGCACAATGGGAACTGGTGCGCGCCAACCGCGGTGGCAAGTGCCTGGCGTGCCAGCACGGTCCACTCAACGGCACGGGC